AGCTGGAAAAGGTTCAGGGATAGACCAGGGGAGCAAAGAAAACAGAAGATAAGGTTCAGAGATAAGTGCAAGTGTACTTCAACAGGGACTTGATATTCAATAAAATGGACACCACAAATCAATGGAGGAAGTTTGATCCTGCTGGAAAAGTAGAGTAAAATAAAAATAAATAAAAAATAAAATTGCTTCCTAACACCACATGTAAATGTAGACTCTAGCTGGGTATGTCAGTGAATACTTGTAATTATAGCTACTTGGCAGGCTGAGGCAGGAGGCTCATGAGTTTCAGGCCAGATGACTTGGTGAGACTTCTTCCAAAATAAAATTAAAAATGGCTGTAGGGTGTAGCTCAGTGGAGAGCCCTGGGTTCACTTTCCAGTACAGCTCAAAAACAAAACAAAACAAAAATCAAAACAGAAGCCGGGTGTGGTGGCGCACGCATGTAATCCCAGTATTCAGGAGGCTGAGGCAAGAGGATCGCTGTGAGTTTGAGACCACCCTGGACTACACAGTGAGTTCCAGGTCAGTCTCAACTACATAGAGAGACCCTGTCTCAAAAAACCGAAAACCAAACGAAACCAAACGAAATGAAACAGTACACAATCAATGATCTAAATGCAAAAGGTAAAAGGTATGGTGTTACAGGGAGAAAACATAGGCACACATCTTTGTGACCTGAAGGAGGAGCGAGAAAGAACTTTCTAGACAAAAAGCACAAACCCAAAGGTAAATATAATTCATGAGTCTGATTACATAAAAATTAAGAATTCTTGACTATGAGGGACACTACCAACAAAGTTAAAAGAAAGTGACCACAGAAGAAAAAAAAAAATATTTGTAGGCTTTAAAACCAACAGAGGATTCATTTCTTTCTAGAATCTACAAGAAATTCTTGCAAAGCAGTAAGAAACAGTAATCCCACTGGACTAATGGCCAAAGAATATTAACTGATAATCAGAAACTCAAAAAGATAGAGAAAGATATTCAGAATTATCAAGAGTCTGGTAAATGAGACATAAATGATACATCACATCAGGCTAGAAAAAAAGAAAAGCTTTTTCTTTGATGATGGCAAGAGAGCAGGGATATGGGGATGTGAGGAGCCACGTAGCCCTCTGAGGAGCAGGTGGAGTACAACTGAGCACAAAGGATGAGAATGTACCAAATGACTGTTCAACTCAAACAAAAGAAAACAAAAAACCAGAAAGGGGAAAATTCATAATGAACTGTCAAAGTATTAAAGAAAGAATAGAGATAAAATAGAACTTAATAAAAGAAAAAAAAAACCCAGAAAAATGTCAACCTGTGAATAAAATCAAGATTATATGAAGCAACACTGGAGATGCTGCCCCAGCAGGGACTAAGGCAGTGCTCATGGGAGTGAGTTAATTCTCAGGACAGTGAGTTATAAGAGGGATTACAGCCTTGCATCACCTTTGGCTTACTGTCTGGGGATATAATCTCTTCTTCTTACATGCATTCCCACCACTGTGGTACAATCCAGCACAAGGCCTTTGCCAGGGCCAAGCGAATGCCCGCCCTGTGCCTTCAAACCTCCAGAACTGTGAGCTAACCAAATTTTTCTCTTTGTAAAGTCACCCAGCCTCAGGTATTTTGTTATAGCAACAGAAAACAAAACAATCCAATTAGTTTCGTACATATTTTAAATGTCGTTGAAGGTTGTAGCAAAGGTGAGTAAAATATTTAGCTTGATAGGTTCAAGGTCTGAAAGGGTATCAAGTGTCTGGAGCTTTATGAGAAAGAGGGCAAATAGACTGCTAGATTGGAAAGGTGGTTAAAAATCTTAGAAAGACAGTAATAAAAAAGGACTGTATTTTCCAAAGCTCATCCTAATCACAATGCAAAGAAGAAAATGCTGTGAGCCAAGAAAGGGTATGGAGAGACCAGTTAGAAGGAAGAGGCAGCCTGTCCTGGGGTGGTGTAGATATGGCGAATGAGCTGTGAATAAATGAGATGTATTTTGCAGAAACAGCCAATCAGATCTGCTGATAGACTGAGAAACGAGAGGTTGTGGATTTCATAACTAAGCAGGCAGATGGACGCACCATCTCTCAAATAGGAGAAACTGGTGGGGGTTGTGGGTCGGCAACAAAAACAGGAGTTCTGGTTTGGGCACAAAGACTCTGCCATATCTATGAGATTCTCAAGTGGGAGTCTTGGTATAGGCAATTGTTGTAAGAATCTGGAGCTCAGTGGACCCGAACATTTGGGTATCTTCATCTGAGATTAATGTTTATAGGCGATGGGATAAAGGCTCAAGATTCGAACTCCTGTGTGAAGGCTGGCACTCAGCCACCCTGCTGCCCAGTCTCCAGCAACAGGGTGGGCACATCCAAAAAACAATACCATCAACCAATTTTAATAGTTCAGCTAAAGAGGAATACACTCTGATTAGTACGGGTTATTTTATGAACTAAAAATTGTCTCAACAATCATGGAATCTATTAATAAGTTAAGGAGGAAAAATCCAAGATTTTCTGCAGATGTTGAAAAGTTTTCAACCAAAATTAACATCGATTCCTGATTTTTTAAAAGCTGAAGCTAATTTTAAAAGTCTTCATAGGGAGCCAGGCATAGTGGCACATGCCTGTAATACCGGTTACTTGGAAGGCTGAGCAAAGAGAACTGCAAGCTCAAATCAGCCCGGGCAACTCTCAGAATAAAATGGAAAGGGCTGCCAATGTAGCTCCGTGCTACAGTGGTTGCCTATCATGCTTGGGGCCCAGTACTGCCCCCACCCCATTTTATGGGTAGTGAGGGGCATGGCTCAGGATAGGGCCTGGTTTATTCTCCAGCAGCAAGGGCGATAGTGGGGGAGGGTGTCTGTGTAGGCTTGGTAGAGTCAGTTCCTTTCTATAATTAAGAGGAGAGGGACTGGGGATTTAGCTCAGCGGTTTGGTGGCCCACCTTGCAAGCGCAAGGACCGGGGTTCAATCCCCAGTACCAAAAAAGAAAAAAAGAGGAGCTATCACAAACACAAAGCCTGTGCCCTGTGGTAATTTGAAGAGGAAAGGCATTCTCATTAATGTGGTGAACCAGGTGATAATGCAGCGCATTGCTATTATTATTGTAGATAGTTCTGAAAGTTCATATAGGTGTAACTTTCTTTCTGGAAAATCCAGCAAAATCACAAAAAAGATCTTGAATCAGTGAGTTCATTAAGGCGATACTTTTATAAATCAACATATAAAAAATTAGCAAATCCCTATATCAGCTATAATTACTTGGAAGCTTTAGTGACAATAAATAATGGCAATAAAAATTCAAAATGCCTACGATTTAACCTAAAAATAAACACAGGACTTATATGAAGGAAGGTATAAAATTTTACTTAGATGTAAAAGAACACTGGTAAAACAGAATAGTTTTTGCTTGGGAAAACAATATTGAAAGATATCAACTTTATTTTCAAGTAACCCTAAAGTCAACATAATTTTGTCAAAATTCAAAGAGAATTATTAAAAACATGAAGAAACGATACTAAAAATTAAGTGGACGAGGGATGTAGCTCAATCATATAGCACTTGCCTAGTATACAGGAGGCCCTGGGTTCAATTCCTAGTACTTCAAAAATAACTGAAGGGACTGAGAATATTTTTGAATGAGATGGAAATCCAGAGCACACTCGCCTGCCAGGCATTACAACACGAAGGTACAATAAGATCATGTGACGTTGGTTGCAAGAGTAGAATGGCAGAGCCCTAGAACTAAAGAGAAGGCACAAAAAGATCCAGAAATTACCCCATTTATCAGTGGGGACCGAGAGTCAGGGCAGGTTAGAGCTTGTTCCGACAGCCCAAGATGATGGAGCCGAGATCCAAATACAGAGAGCAGACTCCCAGCCTAGTCAGGTAGTGGGCTGACAGCCAACCTGATATTCAGAACAACACACCCCAGCCTGAAGTGCAACTCGTTCAACTGGGAAGAGGCCAAGATCAAAAAGTCCCCCCAACCCCTACCTCAGGGCCCTCAGGGAAATTTCTTATCTCTCTCTTGAGCTAAACAAACTCATTTCTCATATGTCCATCTTTTTAAGTCTTTGACCCTTAAAGAATGTGATGCAAGTCGTGCAAATTTTTGGCAATAAAAATTAGGGTAGGCATTTTTTTTTAAAAATTGAATTGAATAGAGAAAAGGCTTTCAAATCTGGTCCATTATCACAATTACTTGAGGAACTTTTAAAAACACAATTGCTAGAACTCAACACAGCTGAGCCTGAGAGTGAGTGTCCAGCAGCTTTTATTTCTGAGGCAAAAAAAGCTTCCCAGGAGATTGGCAACCCCAGCCAGGCTTCATAGCTAGGTCCTCAGGAATCTAGAACTTAACATTCATTACTGTCTTTCATAAAAGGGCATTTCCTAGACATGATCACACAATACCATAATACATAGGACAAAAAGGACTGTTTAACACACACCACTGTAACAGCAATAAGCAGAATACAGTACAACGAAAAGGGTTAACTATTTGGGACAAAAACTCTTCCAATTTTAAGAGCTGCTACACATGCTATTCATTTAAAGTTTATAATGCTGTAGCGACCTGTGGTTATCCACAGGCCTGTTTTGAATGTTTAATATGCAGCAGTTCACAGCTGATATTGTTGCCTTGGAAAAGAAATACAATCTGGAAAGGGAGAATGGAATAAGTTAAAACTTCGGTTTAGAAAAACCTTTCACCTTGCCTTTGTCGGTTGAGTTATAGTCACTGTCAATTCGGTGCAGAAATGTTTGCTGTTATTTTATTACATGACTTTCAAAATAGTTGCTCCCTTACATAATTCTGCATAATGCTAGGGCAAGCTGCGGTCCTTGCTCTGCAAAAATCAAGCTGATTTTATAAGAAACAAAGAGGTACTAAATGTGTTACACATTATCAAACTGCCCCAGAGCAAGGGCTCCTGTTTCCTGGAACAGGTGGCAATTTGCAACCAGGCAGGACCAGAGATTCCCCGGGGTTCACAGTCTGTTATGACTCACCTGGCCTTGCCTGGTGCCTCTGGGAAGACAGGATGCTTTGGCTTGGCTGAAATCGTTCAGTTTTGAAATATATTCGGGTGTCCTTCGAAACAACAGCAAATAAAAAAACAATTGATAATGAATCTCAGAAAAACAGTAAACAAATTACTAAACTCATAATAAATCTACTCAAGAAAAAAATGGAATGATATTTAACAAAGGAAACAAGGTCAGATAAAAATGTTTTATTCTAAGACTCAAACATGATAACCATTGCTCCCTCTTTCTCTAACACACAGAAAACTTTGGGTTCATTTTTTGTTTTGTAATACTGGGACTGAACCCAGGGTCATCATACTGAGCTACATTTCCAGCCCCTTTCATACTTTAATTTTGAAACAGGATCTCACTAACTTGCTAAATTGCCCAGGCTGGGCTTGAACTCTCAATCCTCCTGCCTCAGCTCCCAGAGTACTGGGATTACAGGTGTCACCAAGAGGAATTCATTTTAAAAATGGAAACTAGAGCCCAATCCCCACACTATAAACAAGTAAATAAATGACTAAAAATTGAAACTTGTGAATTACTTTTTAAATAACATTGTTTGAAAAGTAACATGGTGAGAGCAACATATAAATGGAATCTATGATCATATATATATTTCTTTTTTTTTTTTTTTTGAGACAAGGTCTCACTATGTAGTTCAGGCTGGTTTTGAGCTCATCATGTAGCATAGGCTGGCCTCAAACTCACGGCAATCTTTCTGCCTCAGCCTCCCAAGTGCTGGTATTACAGGTGTGTGCCACCACGCCTGGCTAAAATTCTTTATCGAGACAATTACTTCTCCATGCTATGGCTTCTATGAAACTGTGTAGCCCAGGTTGGTCTTGAACTTGCAGCAATCCTCCTGCCTCAGCCTCCTGAGTTTGGGATTACAAGACCATATATAATTTCTATTAACACTTCCTGAGCTCTTCCTTCATGTACAAGTAAACAGGTACAGGTTCTAGTGATCCACACTTTGACTTGTCAGTTTTTCTCCTTGTAGCAAAGGCTCCAAAACTATGAGTTTTCATGGTTATGTAATATTCCTTTCAGTCATGATTTTCTTAGCTGTTCTGTTGTTATTCCTTTAGGTTGTTTCTCACTTGATTCTGATTCTAGATTATTCTGCTTGGAGTAGGTGCCTGTATTTGGCTTTTTTCCCCTTGTTTGTTTTTTGCATCACAGAAGGGTTTTTTGGGTCACAGCTTCCAATTAATGAGTCACCCACTTGCTTTATAAAAGGTCTGTACTGATTCACAACGTCTCCAGTGGGGTGTGAGCTGGATGCAGAACAAAGCATTTGTACTGTCAGTTTTACACAGATGATTAAACGTTAATCCTTGCAACAGACCCAGGAAGCAGGGTCTCCTTTTCAGACAAGAGGAGAGTCAGGAAATTAGGTAAGCTGTCCAAAGTCACAAAAGGGTTGCAGAGCCACCAATCTAAACATAAAGCCTTCCAACCTGCCCAGATAGTGGACCATGCTAACACTTTCCTTCACCTTTCCAGGAGGGGCTGCTGTTAGGGTTGCAAATCTGCTTTAATTTGCACTTTATCCCGTCATTTACTCATCATTTTTATTATTTTCCTTTTCCAAGTATGGAAAGCTTAAGTCAGATACAAGAAACAAACACTTAACATCCTCACTCCTGCTTCCTTTCCCTTTCTCTGAGTGGCTAACAATTCTCTCACATTAAAATCTCAGTGGTCTGTATTGGTGGCTCACGCCTATCATCCCAGCACTTCGGTATATGTGCTGTTGAAGCGAGCATTTATAATCCCAGCACCTTGGAGGGCTGAGGCAGCCAGCTTGGGCAATTAAGCCAGACCCTGTGTTCAACCTCCAGCACCACTAAAATCAATCTTCTCGTTTGTATAGGTAAAATTGTTCCTTTCCTTGGTGATTTTTTTCCTTTTTCAAATCTGAGTCACTCATTCTCCAAATGTCTGTCACTCTTACTCAATTTTTGTGCCCATTTTTCAGATAATTGATTATATAAATCTTTAATCCTATTCTACCTGGAGTTTTTTTTGGTAAGGAACATGGAAGCGTAGCAAACGTTCAGCACACAGGTAACTGCTTAGTAAGCCACGGTTATGCTAAATACAAGATAATGCAGCCTCGAAAATAATCACAGGACAGCGAGAGAAAATGCACTGCATTGTGTTTGAAGCTGAAAACGAGAAAGCAGTGATTCTGCGACGGTGAGGAAGAATGTGATGGAGATGGAATTATTTTCTCCACCGCTGCTACAATAAGAGAAAAATCAAAAGGACAGTAAAAATCTGCCTCCGGTTGTTTGACAGACGCCAGCTGCTCACGTGGAGGAGGCCCAGGTCTCCTCCTTTGCAGCCCCCACACCTCGGTTGTCTCCCAGAGGTGGTACGACAGAGGTGACAAACGCAGGGGCGGTCAAAGCTGGGGTGGGGCCGAGAGTTTAAGGCCAGGCCTGGGACCCGCGTTCCCGGGGAGCGGAGACGTCCCAGACCCCGCCCCACAGGGAG